CACTTTGGCTGAGAAGAAGAAAGACGTGTTTAGGGGTCCAAGAACCCTCACCCTCGGAATGGTAGTGCAAAAACGTAGAGCTGAATGGAGGCCGTGAGGCAGCGTAGGGCACGGCCAGTCATTTTCAGTACATGCGAGTCACAGGCATTGTTGGGCGAGGTTCTTGTTAACTGGGTCATAACAGAATTATGTTGGAATCGTGAGGAAGGAGATTTAGGCAGGGTCTGGGGGACCAGCAAGTGGCTCCTTTGAAGTTCAGATGAGGAGCACACCAGTTGACTCAACAGCTAGAGACGGTACCCACCAGCCCCATCTGTCTCTGCAGAGCTATCTGAGAGTCCAGTTTCTTGAGAGCGGTAAGGGGACAGTGTGGCAGACCAGGGAAGCAAGTTAGAATCTATGACCCCACTGGACCCCTTCCCATCCCTTGCAGCCTCACCCTCCACGTCTGGGTGCTTCATGAGCAGCAGGAAGCCGTAGCGTAGGGGTGTGCTGACCGTCTCTGTGCCAGCAAAGAAGAGATTCAGCGTCGTCAGCACCAAGTTCTTCATGTAGAACTCTGTGTTGGGATTCTTCTTCTCCTGCAGGAGGGAAGTATTCAAGTCCAGCTCACTCCTATGCTCTTGGTGTCTTTCTGTTTTGCACCCTCCTGCCTGAATTCATTTCTCTTTGGCCCAGACCTAAGGTGAGAAAAGGGGTCCTGGCTATGCCAGGTGATCTCCAGGTTCCAGACTTTGGAAGTGACCCAGTACCCTAACCCACTGCTCTTCTGTCACTCATGACTAGCTGATCGGCTGAGGTTTAATGGTCATGTTTAGTTGTCACTTTTCATTTTATGTGCATTGGTGTTTTGCCATGGGTGTTGGGTCCCCCGGAAAAAGAGTTAGAGATAGTTGCAAGCTGCCATGTGGGTGCTGGGAATTGAACCCCAGGACTCTGGAAGAATGCTCATAACCACAGAGCAACTTCTCCAGCCCTCAGACAAAGAATTTTAGGCAACAGGATCCTATTTCTTAATTATAATCCTTAATATTTCCTAGAGGAATCCCATCCCTCAATCCTTTGCCCTTCAGACCACATGAAATTCCATCTTGACTGGACACAACCTCCAGAAAGCAGACCCAGGAGGACTACCACAGGTCTGTGGCTAGCCTGGCCTACAAGGAGAGTTTCAGGCCAGTCAGGGCTACAGAGCAAGATCCTCTCTCAAAGCCACCAGCGACAAAATCTCCCTCTCTGTTCAGATCAGACGGGAGAAGGTCGCAGCAAAGCTCAGGTCCTCATTGATGTAAACAGCCACGAGGACGGGCAAAGGCAAATGGCGTGACAGCTGAAAGAGCCAGGTCAGGCCAGGGAGTAGGATGCACAGCCTTCATGCTATGTTAGCAGGGCTGCAGCCTCCTCATTTGCAAAGTGGGAGTTGAAACGCAACCTTGCTCAAGAGTTGTGGGTACCAAATAAGTGAACAAAACTAAGCCTTTAAGACAGTGCCAGGAACATGGCAACCCTGTACCCTGGCTGCTGCCTCAGCCTGTACACACCTCCTGAGGATAAGGGACAAGTGGACGGAACACTGTTGTTGAATAATGATTATAATAAGTGGAGTCATGAGTGGTCCTGTGAACTCCCTGCTCTGTGAGCTTGATTTCATTCTCCATGGCTTCTAACCTCCCATCATGCTCCCTGTCTTCTGGGTTTACCTCCTGCATTCGGATGAGGAAGGAGTCAATGAAGTCCCTTGGGGAATTGGGATCCAGGGTGCTCTGATTCTGTTCCACCTTCTTGGTTATGAAGTCCTCCAGACCCTGCAGCTCCTTAAAGGCTTGTTGCTGGGGCCCCGGCAGGTGCTTCATCACTGAAGAGAACATCTCGTAGAGCTGATGGTGGGAACAGAATGAGAAAGCAAGGCAGCTGTCACTGGACAAACCCAACAGATGGGGCATCTGTCTTAAGAAGGGACGTTCATGTCACCTGTCCAGGAGTTTAGGCATCTAGGTGGGGCTGCGTGGCAACAGAGTTTTCTTATAGTTTAAGCATGAGGGCCATTGTCCAAGTTTTTAGGTGAGGTGGACTTGGGAACACGTGCGGGTTTGGGGTATTCAGATGAGGCGGGGATGGGAGTCATCCAGTTTTGGGTAGGGGTTGCCTGTGTAGATATTTAAGTGGTTGGGTGACTTCATCTGGAGACAGCTGTTCATACAGCAATGGCATTTGGACTGGTGAGTTCTAACAGCCATACCAACATCAAATTAGTGCCGGATACTCACGAAGCTAAATTATGCAATCAACCCAAGTGTCCAAATACAGGGTAATGGAGAAGGAAAATGTCATCTATATACACAACTGAATTATCTTCCAGCCATTAAAAACAAAGTTAGGGCATTTTCGGGCAAATGGGTCCAACTGGAGATAATCATATTAAGCAAATTTAACCAGGCTTAGAGAGAGCTCATTCATGTGTTCTTTTTTTTCCCCATTTGTGGTGTAGATACATTAAATCATGTGTGCATACATGTATGTATGTACACACGTGTGTGCCTCTTGGAAGAAAAACTGTCTCAGGGGACAAAGAGGACTAAAGGAGGAGGAGGTGTAAGAAAAAGGAAGGCAGAGGGTATGGGGTGAATAGGCTCGATACACAATATATGCCTTAAAAAGAAAGTATTTTTAAAAAGTGCTGACATTTTTTTTTTTGCACGGACTGTTATTCAAACGGCTGCACAGAGGGTCCTGCTTAGTGGTCTGTGCTGGAAGACCTTTAACTGAGGGGTTTGACGGACATTCTGTACAGAAATTTTGCTGAGAGGTGCAGGGGTTTAGGTATTTTGCGTGGCTGAGTAAGGGCCACTCATCGACACAGTCCAGTGGGCTGGCTCCGAAC